CCCCAAAACCCCAAAACCCCAAAACCCCATACAGCTAAAGTATACTTTAATTTGTTCAAAATAATTATTCGATTAATTGAAAATGAATTAACAGTTGTAGGTTAAATCCTCAAACGATAATTTATCATCAGGCGGAGAAGGGAATGCAAGGCCATCAAATGCTTTGACTTCATTTAAAGACACTTCAAGTCTCTTCACTATTAGCAATGATTCAAATATCTATTCAGGGCAAAATGATGGGCCTGATAACGGTGGTTTTCAAGGTACGAATCAGCTTAGAAGTAAGCGCATTAAACGAGATTAAAAACAGAAAAGCTCGAAAACTGAGAGATTTTCAGATAATCACCCAGGGTAAACTAATGAGGAAAAGAAGAACAGCCCAAATGATGCTATGATAGAAGTAAGAGCTGTAGCTAATTAGAAGGATAAACCCTTTTCTGCGAGATCGAATAACTTAGAGGTATGGCTCGCTAAAAAGAAAGCCTTTGATCAGTAAAGCAAATAGTCACAATCAAATAAGGAAATTAATCCAAGCGAGCTTAAAGAACTACACCAATTGTAAAATAATGGAAATGAATCTGAGAGGGATCTATCTTATCTTTCAAAACTACAGTCCTCTCTATTCTTTGAGCCTGGCGCATAATTCAAAGACAAAAGTGAATTAATCGAGTAGGAGAAACTTCGCACAATGTAAAAAAGTGATTCACAGTTTAATCTTAAGACAATATAGCAATAGCAACTTTAACTCCAGCAATAGAAACAGGGCACTAAACTAGAAACACTTAATGAATAAGAATCTTCAAATAGATTTCATAGATCCCAGCAAAGCAAGCAGATGGTCCAATAGGTTTATGCTTCAAACGCAGGATCAGAGTCATTGTTGATATTCAATCCCAAAGAGGAAGCCATTCTAGATTCATACCCAAATATGCTCTCTATTTCATAGAACAAAATGCTAAAAGAAGTTATAGATCATGTGTAAAAGGAAAATTAATACTTAAAGGACTAATTATTAGATTAATAAGAGTTGGTTAAAATGCACAAGCAGATGCTTGTTGACATCATATCTTCTTAAAACACAAAAATTGACGAATTTATTGTCTAAGGAAAGAGTCTCAATCAGAAGCTTAACGATCAGAGATAGTATCTAATGATGAATAACAATATTTTCGATAATTCTCAGGTATCATTTATGACAGCAGATTTAGATATTCATGATATGGATATTTTTAAGAATGATTCAAGCAGAAGGTACACTAATAACATCCTCGGTGAGTTTAATATTGTTAACCCTCCAAGTTCATAGCTTAAAATGAGAGAAGACGAAATAGAAAATTCTCACCACTCCCTACATAATCACCCAAATAATGTATCTAAAAAATCTAGCCTCAAAGAGTAGAATCTCAATAATAGTGACTATTGCTTAGCATGTAAACATCTAATAGAATCTGAAAGACAAGAGTTTAAGACTAAGCAAGATGAACTTCTAGGTGTAATAGATTAATTGAAACAAGACTTTGCAATAATGATGCAACAAAAAGAATAGCTTATGAAATCTCAGATATCTTAGGGCATGTCCTCAAATAACCTATTTGATTAGGATGGTGGATTAAATTCCGCAAGAAGTTAATTAAATAATAACGATATAATGAAGAGTCCTAAGCCTCTCCTTAGTCATAGCAGGCAGGAAAGTGGCAGTGAAAAATTTGATGGAGTAGAGCAGGCTCTCTAGCCATTACTTGAAAAAATAACAGATCCCTCAGAGGAGATTTACTTCTAAGATTCTAATGGTAGAGTATTTAAGATAATGATGTGCGAGGCTAATAATGATGAAATAGACATTAATCAAATTGAATAATATGAAAACTATTAAGCTTAGTATACTGAAGAGGAGGAAACTAGCCCAATGAATTTAGAATAATAGAAAAACTCTTAATCTCATGTTGAAGCACCATTATAAAAGATTAATAACAATCAATATAACTCTGCCAGATAAAGTTCAGTTGGAATTGGAAGTGGTTCTCTACATACAGCAGCTACAAGTAATTTAGCTAATTCTGGAATGCTATAAATGTCAAACTAAAAGGGAAGCATTATGAATTCGACAGGAAACAACAATACTGCTCCAGTAAGAGATGATATTAATCCAGTTTAAACTGAGGAATACTATTATGATGAGGAGGAAGATGAAAATGAGATTGCTTTAGGAGGACTCACTGATTAAATCAGTCCTAGCAGAAATAGAAGGCAGTATGATTTCAGAGACTTTGATTAGGATGATCATAAAAACTCAGACTTTCATGGAATATATTAGACGAATCCTAAAACTGGAAATAGAAATAGTAGCAATAATCATTTATAGATACCGTACAGAAAGAGTGATGAAGACTTCAACCTATTAAGTGAAGGAGAGGTTGAAAATGATTTGCTAAATCATCTATGATATTCAATAATTTATCTTTAAACTGATATTCAGTCTCAATGTTTAAGTCCGGGGTTTTGGGGTTTTGGGGTTTTGGGGTTTTGGGG